ACTTTCCTGTACAGCATATTTGCAACGCTGAAACAAATCCAGATTATTGTAGACGCCTAACAAAGTGGCAGATTTACCGTAATTTTGTTGTCAGGGGAGACAGGAAATCGCTATATGGATGCATTAAAAGTCTCATAACTTCTCTAAACTAGCCGCGGGTTCCATGAGGCTCTCGCACAGGATCGGCAGGCATGTCGAACGGCAGTAAAGAATGGCATAGCTATCTTCAAAGTCAGTCGAATATAGGTGACTAAGAAAGGATTTTTCAGATACAATGAGTGCACTGTGTATAAAATTTTGCCGACAACCAATCACTTCCATCGGTTCGCACTGTCAGCACCCATCCAGTGCTCACATTAGTTTAAAGCATTGTTTCCAAGGTAAGAATTTAAATTTTATATTGGTCTCAAAAGACCCCTTCGCATGCATCGCAGCCCCATCGACAAGGGAAAGAATACCTGTACTAGGAACATCACACTGTCCAACTGTTTTGCTCCTGCTCTCACAATGAAAACATATTTCGGAATAAAATACTCCCGACTGGGATTTATCTGTGCTTTCCTCTGTACATCCAACCCGTACTCCCAGGTTTATTCTGCCAACATTGCTCATGTTGTTTGAACTGCCGAAATTGCATAACGCTGGATCACCGAACTCCACCCAAGGAGAAAATTATGCCAATTCACCTATTCCTGTTCACCCTGCGGTTCTACTATGGGAATGAAAATATTGAACGTTCGGTACAGTTGCTGTGAAACCTAGACCCACACTTCCACCGTCTTACCGTCTGCGAAACCCTCAATCCTTAAACTGCCCTAGCCCCTCGGTGTTCAACTAGACCAACTATCCACAGTTACTGATTCCTATGCGCTAACAACATGCGTAACATCATCACCACCCAAACTTTCCATTAATTTCAGCACCGAAAGTCTGTTCAGTCACCTCCTCACCGCTCCTTTAAAGATTCATCAGAGACCTTCACACATCATCTTAACCATTAGCTCATTCTGATTAAGACACGATTACTAGCGGTAGGTGAGGAAGAACGAACAGCCACTGAGCTTCGGTGGAAACGTTTAATGGAGTTTTTTTCCATGATGGCGGACTGTTTATTTCTGTAGCGCAGGGGACA